ATATTTTCCTCTCTCTACCTTGACTGGCTGGAGGTGAGCAGGCGTTCAGTAAAATGAAGATAATAAGAAACTACCTGCGCTCTAGGATGTCCCAGGAAATGTTCAGTGATCTGGCAATGCTGTCTGTAGAGCATCAGCTTGTGAATAAATTAGACTTTAAAGACATCATAAATGACTTTTGTACTAAAAAAGTTCACCGTTTGGCATTTGGAAACAAAGTCTAACCACATTTATAAAGTAAAATCATCTAAGACTTGGACAAAAAAGGAAAAAAATCTGTAAACAGCCCATTATTGAAAAAATTATAGGCAAAGGAAAATGAAGTAATCAGTTAAGTTGACTTTTTTCTTTGTTCACAGATATATAAAGAATCCTGGATCCAGACTGGGATCTAGATCATCGCTGAAATTTCTGAAAATTTCAGCAAAATTCCTCCTTAACTGTTTTTGCTATTTAGAGAACAGACAAATCAACACCAATGAAACATAACCTCCTTGGCAGAGGAAAAAAAAGTGGCTTGATAGTAAAAGTAAATTTAGGTTGCCTTTTGGTGGGACTGGCTGGCTCTCTATTCTCCGTCCATATTCTGTGGACATTTCAGCAGTCAGTCCGGTTTGCTCCTCAAACATTTTCTCCCAATCTGAATCTTCTCATGTGTGGCAGTCATTCTGTGGTATCACATGGTTAGTGCTCAGATGTCATAGAGAAAAAGCCCTGTCATTAAACCGGTGAGGCTGGAGATTAATCTATAATTGGTAATCTTGTGGGAAATAAGGAGATTCTGTGCTGATGCATGAGGTTTCTCGTTAGCCAGTCCTTATCCTCATGCTCCTTCTAAGCCCTAAACTGTAATGGATGTTTTACTGTGACAAGTGTTGGCAGTGGAAAGATACTTACACTGTGTTTGGAGGAAAGCCAGCAGAGTGGGACAAATGGAGAGACCCATTCAGCTCTAAATTTATTTCTAAAGTGCTTTTCACTCTTGCTTTCTTGTTCTGACACAAAAGAATGTATTCATGGAATTCCTGGCTTTTTTCCCAAAACTGTGCTTTAAAATGTAAAAGACTTTGCTGTGGTTTCCCCACTATCTAATGTTATCTCTAGATCCAATTATAAAAAAATTCTCGTTCTTTAAGCTTTTTTTCCCCCCAATTTCAAATGCAGTAACCTGTAATGTTTTTGCCTCCATTATAAATCCTGTAGTCTTGATGGATTGAATTTATCCCATGGGAAATTTTCCAAAAGGTGTGGACACAAAAAGAGCTAAAAAAAAAAATGAGAGAGAGAGAGAGAGAAAGGCCATCTTGTTGTCTTTGCACACCCTGCTGACCTAATCCCAGCTATTTACTTTGTCAACCCCCTTATCACCCCTGGCTGTCACTGGCCGTATCAGGAACTGCTAAAATGTCTCATTATCTTGACAAAACCGAAAAAATGTGGACATTTGTGGGTCAAAATTAGGAATTAAGTCTTTCACTGCTTGTTTTTTTGTTTGTTTTTGTTTTTTTTTTTTACTTATTCAGTAGTTGTCTTGGCAGTTCTGCACATTCTTACTGAGGAGAGGAAATAAAAGGGCTCTTCTTGTGCAAGCATATGAAACCATTTAGGAAAATTAGGTAAGTAAGGGTAATTATAACTTATAATGCATCTTTCACAGATAAAATCACAATGTTCTAAAAAGAATATGTAAAAAGGAAGCAAAGTGAACATTCTAATTAATTTTATCATGATGAACTTTAACAGTTCATAAAAGAAGTTTAAAATAAAACCTAAAATTAATCTGCAACCAGTAAAGTGAAGCTAAGACAGAAGTAATATGAGCTCTTCTGCTAATCCCTGTAAAAAGCCTTGCTGCAGTATTCTGCACCCTTTGTACGCAATTGACAGCAGATTTATGAAAACAGGTAGAAAATCTAAAACAATAATCCAACCGGGACAAAATAAAAGTATGCAAACTAATTTCCAGGTCAAACTGTATTTCTAAATCAATTTGAGCTAATTTCTTGAAACGCTGTTGAAAAGAGAAAAAAATGTTTAAAACGTTCGCAACCGAGTTTTTGAGGTTTGACTGGACCGAGGATCCCATAAAAATATGGTGCATTTGGATTTCAAGGATTTGTTTCATCAGGTAAAATCATAAATTTCTCAGTTTAAGCAAAGATGTTACACTCTTTGACAAATTTTGGCAGACAGTCCCTTAGGTTCACATAGCGCTTGAAGGGTACACGTACATTTTCATTAGGGCTGCAACTAACAATTATTTTGCAAATCGAATAATCTGTTGATTATTTTTTCAATTAATCAATTAATAACCGAATAGCAAAAAAATCCTTAAAGATGACTTTTTACGAAATTAAAATAGGTGACACAAACAATTCCACTTAAGGACTACTGGATATAGCATAGTGACAGATGAAAAGGCTTTTTTTTTTCATATGTGAAATGTTTATGTATTTTCTTTAAAATTTTTGTATAATTCTGCGTTCGAGGGTTGGTTGATCTTTTCCCTAAAGGCATATTTTAAAGTCTCTAAACTCCAGTTAACGATTAATCGATTACTAAATTAGTTGATGAGTATTTCAATAATGGATTAATCACGATTAATCTGATTAATTGTTTTGGCCCCAATTGTCATTGTTGCTTTTTATGTGAGTGTTATCACAATACTTTCATTAGTTTCATAGACAAAGAAGAGAAGTATTT